TAGATAATTGATTGGTGAAGCATGCTGAGTTATAGTAAACAACATGTCTGCATCAGGACAGCCATCAAATTGTATTTACTTCTATTCATCATCAATTTTTTATAGCCAAAGCCCTTGGATTGTTTGAAACAGGTTGTTTTGAATCATGCTCAGCTGCCTCCTTGCCACCCTTAACGATATCCATTTACAAAATTCACTAAGTATATTGGGGAGGTGGGATAATGCCTTCTCTCATAATGAACTCCACCTCCCTTATTAATAGCCACTCCCTTCCAGCCCCTTTCCTCTAGCAGAGGAGGCAGAAAAACAGCTGTCTTCGCAGATGACATCAAATCTGTTCTCTGGCTGACTAGCAGAGAATGCTGATAATTGGAGCTGTCTGCTCCAACTCATCCAGGAAAGCAACAGCTTCTACTAGCCTGAGGCCTACACACTTGAGTCCTCCCCTGCCAGCTATCTGAATGAGCCAGGATAATGCAAGAGAGTTGAATGTGATCTTCATGCTTAAGCTAAGAGTCTAATGCATTTCTGGAAACAGAAATCAGATACTATGGACACATTTATAAAATGATTATACATCCCTTGCTCTGTCAATGCATAGCTGTATGACCTGGGCAAGTGTGTTAAACTGATTATTTTCAGAAAAGAGATTACATAAATATGGCACCTCCTTACTCAACCAATCTTCTCCCTGCTTGCTGTCAACCACACCTGCTCACTTCATGACAAAAAATATGATTTTAAATACTTAATTAGCTCCTGTTATCCTATGAAGCCAACACAGCAACAGGACAGCTGGATTCTATTCTGGACTGCCTATCATGAACACACTTATTAACTAAGAGACAAAGTCTCCTGTGAGTTTCATCAGTGTAAACACGGATGGCAGGTATCATAGGCTCGGGAAGGCTGTGCCTCCCCAAACAGCCAGGCATGGCCCCACCCATGCTCTGCCCCCAGACTCCCCCTCCCGCTTCCTGCTCTGTGGCTCCCCCGGTGTATTGGCCCCAGATCGGGCTGCGCCGCCCACACTCCTGGCGCTACAGGGCTGGGGAGGTTAGGGCCATGCCGCCCACCCACCCACCCGGTGCTCTAGGGCTGGAGCCGCACCGCCACCCTTCCAGACGCTCCGGGGCTGCGGAGCCTGCGGCCACGCTGTCTTCCCTCCCAATGCTCCATGGCTGGGGAGGCTGCGGCCGTGCCGCCCACACTCCCGGCACTCCGGGGCTGGAGCCACACCACCTGCCCTCTTGGTGCTCCGGGGCTGGGGGCGCTGCTTGGGGCAGGGGCCAGCAGCCGCTATGGGGGGGCTCTGGGCTCCAGCGCGGGGAGCAGTGCTTCAGGCCGAAGGGGCCGGACTGGGAGCTAGCCTACCCCAGCCAGCGGTTCACACACCACCCATGAGTGTAAATCTAGAGTAACTTCATTAAATGTGATATATGCCATCATGTGCCAGCAATGCCCCTCTGCCATGTACATGGGCCAAACTGGACAGTCTTTACGCAAAAGAATAAATGTACACAAATCAGACATCAAGAATTATAACATTCAAAAACCAGTCGGAGAGCACTTCATTCTCCCTGGACACTCAATAACAGACTTAAAAGTGACAATTCTTCAACAAAAAAAATTCAAAAACAGACTCCAATGAGAAACTGCAGAACTGGAATTAATTTGCAAACTGGACACCATCAAATTAGGACTGAATAAAGATTGGGAGTGGGACGGTCACTACAAAAACTAATTTTCCCATACTAATTTCCCCCTACTGTTACTCACACCTTCTTGTCAATTGTTTGAAATGGGCCACCCTATTTACATTGGGCTCATTACCACTACAAAAGTGATTTTTCCTCCCTTGGTATTCTACTGTTGAGAATAGCCCACTTCCACTTTAATTGAATTGTCTCATTAGCACTGACCCCCCATCTTTTCATGTACTGTGTATGTATACCTGCCTACTGTTTTTTTCCACTCCATGCATCTGATGAAGTGGGTTTTAGCCCATGAAAGCTTATGCTCAAATAAATTTGTTAGTTTCTAAGTTGTCATAAGTACTCCTTGTTGTTTTTTCATTAAACTCAACACTAAAGAAACAGATCGACATTTGCTGCACATTTTCAAATGCAACGTGTTTAACTCAGGTTACAGAGTTGTGTAACGTAACTGCATTCTAACTATACTTATCATACACCTCAGCTGCACCCAGCTTGCTGGTGATGATGTGCAAGTCAGAAAGAAAATCTCTGAGGGTTTTATCCTGAAATCTTACTTTCAGATCCTGCCTTTCAGATCACAGGTAGAATCTGAAGGGTTGGCAAAAACCCATCCATTTACCAACTGAGCACCTAGCTCAAGCCACAAACACATGAAATGCAACTTTTATTTCAGATCACTAAAAAGGAAAAAAAAATAGCTAAAACTGTGTCTCAGTTTCCCCTTCTGTCAAATGAATAATCATACTTAGCTACTTTACAGGGACTGCTGGGAAGGTGAATTAATGTTTGTTAAGTACTGAAATTCTACGATCAAAGGGACTATGGAAGTCCAAGTCTCTTTGCTTTCGCCTTCTTCCTCTCACCTTCCTCCTTCCCAACCCAACCAGATCCTTCTGTTTTCTTCTCACTTCATCCTTCCATTCCTCGGACTTCCAGCTCCTCCTCCCTGTGCAACACACTACTACTTCCCCCACAAGATCCCCAATTCCATCTTTTTTCAACCCCAAAAACCTCTTGATAATCCAACTTTTTCATGCTACCTACCAACATGCTCCATAGACTGTTGCTCATTCTCCCCCATCAAAGCCAACTACCTTTGATGGGGTCACATTATGAAAATAGAGGGTCTCAGCTCTGGAACTCTTCCTCTTAGGCATTGAGTAGCATCTCTATTCAAATTTCACATGCTCTGTGGTTCTTTCAAGCCAAAGATGTCCCAGCATAATTGCCTCCTCTCTGACTCCAAGGAAGCCCAAAACACTTGCAACCAAGTTGCTGAAAATCAAATAGTTTCTTAAATGATTAAATGCGTGGTTTAATCTAATGCAGGGGTTCTCAAACTTCATTGCACCGTGACCCCTGTCTAACAACAAAAACAACTACACAATCCCAGGAAGGGGGACCGACGCCAGAGTCCACCCGAGTCCTGCTGCCCCAAGTGGTGAGGCTCGGGCTTTGGCCCCAGCAAGTCTAATGCCAGCCCTGCAACCCCATTAAAACAGGTTTGTGACCCACTTTGGGGTCCGACCCACAGTTTGAGAACTGCTTATCTAATGTTTTATATAGTCCAGCCTGTAGACCTGACAAATATCAAATAGCAAGGTAACTGTAGAGGAAACTTTTGATATTTATTAAGATCTATGGAGAAAAAATGTCTCCCCTCAGTCTTCTACATTCAGCTGCCATGATGAAATCAGGCCCCCCAAAATAATGAGACTGTCTTAAAAATCATGAGATTTTAAAGAATGCTACATTTTGGGTTCTTTTTATTTGCATTCTGGGTTTTGAATCGTTAAGAGTCACGACTGCCTCTGCAACCCTGAGGCTAGAAACTTACTTCAAAAAAGAAAGAAAAAAGAAAGAAGGACATAATGTGAGAGTCACAATAAAATCAAGAATGTTGGCAACACTGATGTGCTTAGAATGGGTGCACTCCAAATTTCATATCAGTTTCAGAGGTGTCACTGCTTCTAGCAGCATTCCTTGTTAAAGGTCGGGAATATCGCTGGAATCAGTAATACACCTGTACCCCGATATAACGCGACCCGATATAACACGAATTCGGATATAACGCGGTAAAGCAGCGCTCCAGGGGGGCGGGGCTGTGCACTCCGGAAGATCAAAGCAAGTTCGATATAACGCGGTTTCACCTATAACGCGGTAAGATTTTTTGGCTCCCAAGAACAGCGTTATTTCGGGATAGAGGTGTACCTCTAAAACAAGAATGAACTTTTGAAACATATCCAGTGTACTTCCCCATTTCATAAGGCTGCTGAGGATTAATTAACTGATATTTTTTAAATGTTTTGGAGATGGAAACTGATATATAAAGTGTTAAAATGCTGTTACTGGCAATAAAAAAAATTGCCTTCCCAAGTCTTGACCCTATGTCTGTAATGAAGAAAAAAAGGCCACAAAAGAAAGCTACTAAGTCATGGCCTAATAAGTTAAGAGAAACACTGAGTCAGCTGTATGCCTTGGCAGGAAAAAAGTATACAAAGTATTTTGGACAGAACTGAGAAATCAGTCAGCAGTTTTAGTCTTTCCTTGATCTTGCAAACTGGTATTCTTCACAAGCAGGAACCCACTGAACAAAGTAAACAACTGAACTCAACAAATATACCACACTGTATCAATGGTATATATGGTATTGCATGTATTTCTTCAAGCATTTTTATGTCTAAAGTTTAGAAAATAGCTTTAATATATAACAGCCTTTAATTCTGTACATTACCATTAATCAGGGGTATAAAGCTTTTACCATTTTTAATTTTATTTACATTGCCCCAAACTATCTCTGCAAATGAATGTAGTTCCCTCCCTCAGAACAGATCCACAGTTCTCAAGCATGGAGCTAGTCTGGCATGGGGTGACCTTTGGTCGCCAAACCACAGCCATAGAGTACATGGCCCCCTAGGACGCGAGTGTTCCAGATGGCCATATTCATTTTGGTCTCAGTAGGAAACCAATACATGCCCTGCCCATCCAACTTGCAAACATTCCCTCTGCAAACATTTACAATCCATGCATTTTGCTATCCAATCACTTTACGTGCCTTCCAGTCATACTTGTGCCTATAATATATTTCTTTTATTTGGTTCATTTTCATTACACACAGGACTCGGGCAGTAAAATAGAGTGAACCATTTTACAGCCTGCAACCCACAGCAGCACAGAAACCATAATGAATTCACAGATGTGATTACCTCCTTCTAAGTTAAAAGCATTACTTCAGAAAGGTCATTTCATAAAATGGGTTGATTTGCTGAAGAATGAACATACCTCAGCTTGTCCAACAGCCAATCCTCCAGACGAACTCTTGTCAGCCTGGTTTAAACAAAGGGTTGCTTTAATTAGTGAAATATTACCAACTGACGGGGCAAATTCCAAAAATACTTCACTACAATTAGGAAAGCTTTCCTTCTATTCATTACTACACAGCATTTAAGAAATAATATTTAACCCCTTGACAGCCATATAGGTATATCTTAAGTAAGCCCCATGCAATCTCCCCCAACTGTCTCTCACAATACCGGCTATCTTGCTGTGGAAAAATTATTGCTGCATGAGAAAGGCTTCTTGCAGATATTATTAATTACAGTTTTCAGTTTCTATTTTTATTTGTGTTTTTGGCTCCTTTACCAAAGTGTAACTTCCTAGAAAATTCTTTCTTTACAGATTTATTTTGGTGTGTTTATACAGGTTTATTTATACAGAAATTTTGACCCCCTACATTTGATCAAAAATGGGTTGCTTCATTAGAAAGGCAATAAGCACAAGAGGTTTTTTGGAAGTCTCATACTGTTTTTAATACAGTCTCATTAATTGTTCCTACCCTGTATGTAATCATCTACATCCTTACACATTGGAAAAGACCTCTGTGTTAGACTGAATGCTTGTCTCTCTCACCAACAGAAGTTTGTCCAATAAAAGATATTACCTCACCCACCTTGTCTCTCTAATATCCTGGAACCAACGTGGTTACAACTCTACAAACATATATTATATATGTCCTTTACAGCCAAATTTACAAACATAGGCACTGAAGCTCTGCATGCATATTCATTCTTATTGCATGTGCATGTGCAAACACTTGTTGGCTTGTTTTAAGATTAAGCTAAAGTATCGTTATGAAATACCATGGCTCATAGTCAATATAAACCAATCATTCCTAAATAAGGACCTTACACAGTATTAAGAGGTATTTGCTATTACTCTTATTCTGCTTTTTATCAGCTCATGGCTGTGTTTAACTGACTCATATCTTTGGTCAGAAATTATGAGTCTTTTAAATGGCAATGGGTCAGATCCTGCTCATTTTTCTTACTTGAGATGTCCCATTGACTACAATGGAACTATTTATGTGAACAAGGCTTTGACTCTAGGAACCCATCTTCTTCAGTAATTCTGATCCTATGTGAGCAAGATACCTTATGAATTTTTCACTGAAATTACACCTTAGCTGAACTATTCCTTTTATAAACATTACCCTATAATTTAGTCCTGTTTTTCTATTTCCTGTTATTTACTGTAGCCATAGTTTATACTATATCTGGATGCCTTTAAAAACTAATTTTACAGCCAGCATCTTGTTGCATAACTTATGGCAAGGTTTACTTATCATCTAACCTAATGTTCTAATTTTCTACACTCTCAACCAGTTTAAATCCAACAATTTACTTTTTCTAAGAGAAGGTAAGTCCCATACATATGTCATCTCAGGAGGATGTGTATTTGGTTTTGCATTATAAGGGTCATATATTTACATCAGTTGTAAATTTGTTCTCACAAACCCCACTTTTGTAGATACAAGTGGTTACAGCCCATATTTTGACAGTCAATGGGATTTAGGCTCCTAAATGCCTATGCCACTTTTGAAAATGAGACTAAGGATCCTAACTCACTTAGGATGCTGCTATGTTGAACCCAGCAATGCCTAAATATTTTTAAAAATCTGTGGAACATGTATGAAAAAACAGGCATTTTTGCAGACACAGGTTGAAAGGGAGCAGCTGATAACCTAGCCCTCTAATAGGGGTTTGTTGTTATTGTTTTTAATAAGTGCTTCATATGAATCTTCAGCAGCCCAAGCATCACTGAAAGGGAAATTTTGGGACCTAAGTCCTTTTCCCTGTAAATAATGTAATAAAGCCTATACGTGTCCTTTAAAAAACCCACAAAAACTGAAAATATACAGTTGTATTTCAGCTTGATATCAATTGGTAACTGTTTTATAGAATAGTTAAGCAATGTGTGTGTGACTTCTCTTAGCCCATTGGACTTTCTTCAGCTGTCAACACGTGTGTGAGTACAGAGCAGGAATTACCAAGTTCCACAGAACATACTAATGCAAGTTTAATAAATAATAATTATCCCTTGTAACTCATTAAATCAGTGGTTCCCAACATTTTATAATGATGGCAAGCCATCTGTGGGGAATGATCCAGCGTCTCGAGATTTAAAAGCATGAGCCTCAAGTACTTGAGTCAAAGAACCAGGTCCAATATTTAGAAGCAATAGCTGACTCATAAACCTCTATCAGAGGTTCAGCCACTAGAGGGTGACAAAGCGCCACTCTGTGGTAGCATGGGTTAAACATCTGTAGTGAGTCTCTCTCTTAAAATGGCTTAGAGGATGGATGTTTCCTTGTGCCCATTTGCACCATGCCCTGGCATAGCTGCCACCATTATCTTCTTTTTCTTCCCAATAAAGCCAATGCTCTACAGAAATCAGTTCATCCCACCCACAGACTTATAGCGTGAAGTGCAAATCTGGCAGCCATATTGAGCCAGCAACTCTACACAACTGTTTTTAGTAGAGGGGGAAGGGAACAGTGCCATATCTAACTAAAATTACAGGGGGTGTTGAGATAGGAAGAATGCAATTACTCATGTTGGAATATGGCCAGGATACTTGGCCTAGCACAGCAATGCTCATTAAAAGTTCTAAAGGACCTTTCATACCCAAGGAGATAGTTGCAACATTCAAAACAAAAGCCCCTCAACTACTACAGCTGAAATTTATAAGCAACACAGAAATTATTCGACTGGGACCACAGTAAAAGAAAGCTTATTCATTTTAAAAACTGAGGTACTTTAATTTCTTCCTGACAACCTGTTCTGGAATCAGTTAAGGTAACAGAAATGTGGAGTACCAGTCATTAAATTTTGCTATTTAACATCTTCAGCGTCAAATGCCCACAGTTTAACATACAGTAAATAAACAGGCTTACCAATTTTCCATTGTGGCGTGTTGTACATGAACAGTATTTCAAAGTATAGAAAATAATGCACACAACTACGCCTTTCTGAAGGAACCACTAGGAAAAAATATGAACCAAAATCTGCAGTATCTGTTAGCTAGTAACATGCCTGTATGATACAAATTCTGAAGCACAATTCTGTGGTAAATTCCATAGCCAAGAAATTCCAGCATACAAGGAGCTCTACCTGTTTCATCGGATAATTTTAGTCAATTCTGGTTCAAACACCTGCTTGACACATGAACCATATGGGGGAAGAGGAATATAATATGCTTGTCATCCACAAATTTCAAAACCCTTAAAAGGGTAGATGAAGAAACTGATACACAGGTGGGTTTAAGCTAAATATTTCAAATGTAAGTACCTCATGTTAGGCACCTAAATAAAATGACTGATGCTCAGAGATGCTGAGCATTCAGTGACTTCAAAGCAACTCACAGGAACTCCCATGCAATCTTACATCACTTTTCAATGAAATATGTATTCTCATTATTAATGATTTGTACTGCAGTAAAAACACTCCAAAATTGAGATTTGCACTGAGTTTAAAACTAAATAACACAAGGTATAAATCATTTTATTTTCTGTGCATATAATTCATTGAAAAAAACACCTGTCTGAATTTACTCAAAGCTATCAAAATGTTACTACTATACAGAATACTGCACCAGTTTCAATTGGGAGTTAGAGGGGAGGGGCTTACTGCAGAATCGATATCCCACATACCACAGAATACATAGCACCCTGAATGCAATGAACATCTTTCAATGGTCATTTTATAGCAAACCCATGACCAGACCAGGAATTCTGCTGCTCTTTCTCTGACAGCATTTTCCTCTCTGCTTTGGAACTCGAGCTCAGCAGACAGAGAAATGCCTTCCTGCAGGCAAGAATGAACAATCTCTCCCAATTACACAGCCATGTGTGGGCTATGAGCAATTTTCCAAACATAAAAGGCAAAAGGGAATTTGCTATCCATATATTAACAAGTTAAAACATGCCACCTGCAGATGGAAGGGATCAAAGTGTCTATTTGAGTCACCTCAAAATTAATCCCCTCCAGGAATGTTTTTCTCTCACTGTGTTTCCCCCCCCACCCTCAAGAGCAGAAAGCCAAGCTCAAAGAATGCACCCAGCTTTTTTATACAAATATGATATTCCCTAATACACCACACCCTCTTCTTTCTGTAAAAGAATATATCCCCAAACACACAATGCATCAGAGGGCTGATTTCATATTTATTGTCTATCAATCACGAAGCCATGTTTTGTCAGAAAAAGATTCATTGCAAGTTTCTGTTGGGAATGGCATTTCCATGATAGAAAGGCTTTCTTCATCACAGGACAGATCCAACTCTGGTTGCAACTTGAACATTCTTCCAGAGTGCAGAGAAGATGGATGAGTAAAATGTATTGCAACCTTTAGAACACAAAATGCAAAATGTGGAATCCTTTTTACAGATGTAAATAAAATAAGTGAATTTGATGAGGGCAAAAATGTAGGTGGTAAAAAGAAAAAATAGCCAGCCAGTATGATGTATAGACTTAATATCTATGTTCAATGAGAAATTTACTCCTGGGCAGAGAAGACAGGGTTAAAACATATACACCATTTAAGCCCTATGTTGAGGGTTTAAGTAGAACGGGAATGTTGCATAAGCCTTGCACTGCGTTCTCTGCAAATGAGGTGGACTTCACATGCAGTGGCCAAGCTGAAAATAATATAATACTAATTATGATTGGGGGGGGGTTGGAAAGTTGAATCCGTTCTTTTAAACCATAGACCAAAAGCAGTAGTCTTCAAAAATAGGCGTAGGCAAGTTTTTACTGTTCCCACAAACAGCCCAATTCTCCTTGCACTGAAGTCAACATCAAAACTCCCATTGACCTCAGCGGAAAAACAACCCATAATATACATTTTAGTAACTGGTGATGACAGGGCCAGTCCTAGGTGTTTTGTCTCCAGGACTAGGGTTGCCAGCCCTCCTGGATTGTCCTGGAGTCTCCAGGAATTAAAGATTAATCTTTAATTAATGATTATGTCATGTGATGAAACTTCCAGGCA